GCCATACCAGCCTTCTTTAGGTTTACAGACGTTACAAAACTTATGTAGCAATCACAATATTATATAGATGGAGAATGTCGCAATAAAAATTGTTTTGAAAAAAGAGGCGGAAATGACGTAAAACACAAAAACTGGAAAAGAAAAATACTAAGGAGATGGATTACAATAATTCGTCACGGCGGTTTAGGCCATGAGGTTCAAGGGTCATGGCCTTATCTATCAAATGCGACTCCCTGGCCTTACGAACTGAGTCACGTGAAGAATGAATTTTCTCTAGTGGGATTAACTGAATGTCAGTATCAGAATGGTCAGAGTGAGAGAGAAAGTGTTCAGAAACAGTAGTGGGTTTAGATTTAATGTTAGTTTTGTCGACTGCACGTCCAAGTAACCCCTGCTGAGACATTCAACAACGTAACTGGGGAAGGGTGGGATGGTATTACCTGATCGACTGATTTCCATCTTTAAATCTAAAACGGCCCTCAGCTACCAATGTGAACGAAATAAAACTCAGTCAGTAACTGATAATAACGCATGGATATCTGGCTCTGTATGCTGATCCAACTTGACTTCTGGTGTTTCCCCGCTTTTCTTGTCCCTCAAAATGGTGATCTATTCCGTGAAAATGGACTGATTGTCAGGTTCACTTAAAGTAATGTTAAGCTGGTGATGTAATGTATTTGGATACCCGTGTCAGGAGCGCCTGGAGTCCAAGATTAAGATTAGTCTTTTTCATACTAAATAGGGTTTACCCGCTCATAGACAGAACGAAACTCCCACATCAAAATCAGCCAAAATAGACGGTGGATAAGAACCGAACTCGGGTTAAATCCCCTAGCCTGCGTAGCAGACGCTTGGAAGTAGCGGGCGAAAGAGAGAACAGGCGCGCGCGACGCAGACACGCCCTCGCGTGTCTCCTTCTCGCCCGCGCGTTTTTTCTTGTGCCCACTACTTCTAAGCGCCTGCTACGCAGCTACTAATCGCGGATTAAAGAAAAATTAAAGATTAAATCTTAGTATTTCTTTATTATTGGACGCCGGTTGGCGCGACAGCTTTAGAGAACACCGAGAGATATCATCAACGGGAGGAATGACCTTCCTGTACCTGCCCACTTCGACCAAGCCAATCATACACTGGAGGTCATGAACGTTGCTGTATTGAAGGCAGGCCTAACCAACCAGGAATACCGTAAGAAGCAGGAGATGAGGTCGATTTTCAATTATGGGACTGTGGGTCCTAGTGGCCTTACTCAATACTTAAGTTCCACATGAATCACTCGCTTTTTGCATACTCGCGCGCCGGCACGCGCTATCACATGTAACAAGCGCGCGAGTATGTAATCGGGCGCGTGAGCTGATTTAACAAACTTTTTAACGGTATTTACTCTTGTACACTGAAGAAAGCAGCATGACCAAAACGTCCCTGGCGCGCTTAATTGCACTAATGCCAGAAAAAAACCTTTTTTAGAAGTCATCTAAATATGGTCACCCCAATTCAGATTCTGGTGATTTTTTACCCCAAGGGATTTGAAAACCAAGACCTGTTTGATCGGAGCGTCGTCGATGACAATACTTGGTTTCTGCGATACGTTAGATAGTCTCTTCTTGAGCCAAATATAAGGAGAAACTCAGTTTTTTCATATTAGCATGAGCTTGTTAGCGACAAGACAAATATAGACCTTATTCAGATCATTTTTGACAATTAAGCTTAGGTAATACTTGTATCGCCGGCTCACATTCTCGGATGAGAGAAAGTCATTTATGTAAAAAAAAAAATAATTAGGAGCCTACAATGGTCCCCTGGGGCACACCACTTGTGACAAATCTCTTACCCGACTTACAGCCGTCTATATATTTTAGGGTAGGTTTTCACAATTCAGGCTGATTCGGTTCTTAATAGGTTCTTATTTTTCAGGGATTGACGTAGTGTAACCATTGCCAGAAATATTGTACTTCTAAATACATAATGGTTTATGGAAAACATATTTCTAGTAAAAATCCAAACAAAATATAAATCAAAGAATTTTTTATAAACAACAACTTTTGTCAAACGTTTCTCTCACAGTTGCTTTCCTCGGCCCATTTTGTGGCGAACTACTATGTTGAGAACTGCTCAACTGTCGCAAAAAATTCAAACCGATTTTGCAATTACATTGTAGGCAAAATATCACTAATTCACTTTGTTTGAAATCATTGGTCAACAACCCTCTGCAGCCTCTGGGGAAGTGCAAGTTGATTGACACACCCCCTCCTCCTAAGGCCTACAGAATTACCTATAGTTTTTGCTTTGATTAACTTAAGAGTCATCGTCACAAACAGAGATCATATGGTTTTCATAATGTTGAAGAAGAAGAGCCTCACTACTCATCTCCTCTTGACAAATCCAGCAGCTGTAATTCTCAAAGATGACCAATTGTGCATCTGCTAGATCAGTGTTTCCAGTCTCCCTCTGTGTTTGAAGGTTGTTTGTAAAACCTACGGCCCTGATAACATTAACGTTTTTACCTCCTGCTCTCTTCCGCTTGCATGATTCCAAACGTTTAGACAGACCTTTGTTTTTCCGGAAACATTTACGTGACTCAACCAGGGTGTGGATTCTCTCATGCTTCCTCAGGCTTCCTGCTTCACTGAAACGCTTGCTACACTGTCTACATTCATAAGGTTTTTCCCCAGTGTGAACTCTTTCATGAATCCGTAGGTGTCCTGCTTGGCTAAAACACTTGCCACACTGTTCACATTCGTAAGGCTTTTCCCCAGTGTGAACTCTTTCATGAATCCGTAGGTGTCCGGCTTGGCTAAAACACTTGCCACACTGTTTACATTCGTAAGGCTTTTCCCCAGTGTGAACTCTTTCATGACTCCTCAGGTTTACTGCGAAACTGAAACGCTTGCCACACTGTTTACATTCGTAAGGCTTTTCCTCAGTGTGAACTCTTTCATGAATCCGTAGGTGTCCTGATCGGCTAAAACACTTGCCACACTGTTTACATTCGTAAGGCTTTTCCCCAAGGTGAACTCTTTCATGAATCCGTAGGTGTCCGGCTTGGCTAAAACACTTGCCACACTGTTTACATTCGTAAGGCTTTTCCCCAAGGTGAACTCTTTCATGAATCCGTAGGTGTCCGGCTTGGCTAAAACACTTGCCACACTGTTTACATTCGTAAGGCTTTTCCCCAGTGTGAACTCTTTCATGAGTCCTTAGGTGTCCTGCTTTACTAAAACACTTGCCACAATGTTTACATTCATAAGGCTTTTCCCCAGTGTGAGCTCTTTCATGAATCCGTAGGTGTCCTGCTTGGCTAAAACACTTGCCACACTGTTTACATTTGTAAGGCTTTTCCCCAGTGTGTACTCTTTCATGTCTCCTTAGAAGTCCTGCTTGGCTAAAACACTTGCCACACTGTTTACATTCATAAGGCTTTTCCCCAGTGTGTACTCTTTCATGAACTGTTAGTTTTCCTGCACAGCTAAAACACTTGCCACACTTTTTACATTCATCAGGCTTTTCCCTAGTGTGAACTCTTTTACGTCTCATTAGGATTCTTGCTTGGTTAAAATTCTTGCCACACTGTTTACATTCGTGAGGCTTTTCTCCAACGTGGACCCTTTGATGTGTCTTTAGGTGTCCTGCTACGCTAAAACACTTGTCACACTGTTTTCATGAATCCTTAGGTGTCCTGCTTGGCTAAAACAATTGCCACACTGCTGGCAATCAAGGGACACTGAGCTTGTTCTTCTTTTAAGGTGTCTAGGGTACCTTTCGAAAGTAGGGAAAACGTTATTAGTTAAATGAACAATTATCATTTTGTTCTATGGCTATGAAAACTTGCAAAACAAATTTTGTGGCAAGCTGGTGTAACTAAGGTGTGTAACAAATGCAAACAGTTTAAAGGAAGTATGGCACACGTGGAAAATTAGAAAATTCAAAAGACACCCACTCTTGAAAAAGTGATTCTAGACCATGCACCAGCTGACTACATGCCTAAAATAATAAAAGACCCCTTCAAAATGGAGAATCCATCAACAGGGGTCAGTTTATATTTTGCTGACCTTTTGTATTAAGATCTGAGAGTCCCCTGTACTTTGACAAATTTTCCCAACTTTGATAAGAAAATTACAGAAACATTTTTGTAATATATGTACCATTATAGTTTCTTGGAGTACTCCAAACATTTCCACCATTCATGTGAATGATTTTTGACACCTGATTATGACGTTTCCTTCCCTGTATAAAGGAAACACCAAAGCATTCCCCGAGGTATCACTCTATCCAAAAGTATGTTTTATCAATACAGAGCCTTCTACATGTCCAACTTTAAAACAAAAAAATCATTTTTTAATTAACTAAAGATATGATTGTTGCAGGGGTAATTCCAATATGAGCAATTGCAAATAAACGTGAAAAAATTTCGGGACTTCAACAGGATTTGCACCCATGGCCTGTGTGTTAACGCTGCAGTGCTCTACCATTTACGCTATACATTGGGAGCAGGCTAAATTGTTGAGTTCATCTTAACCAATGAAAGGAATGATACATGAAGAGTAACACTAAGAAATATGATCATGTGACTCCAGTGCTTAAGAACTTAAGGTGACTACCAGTAAAAACCAATTTATTCTTCAAAGAAGCCGTTATGGCATTCAAGTGAAAGACGGGCATGGCCCCAGAATATTTAGGTAATAAATTTATTTTTAGAGGCGACGTAAGTAGGTGGAAGACTAGAAGTTCCCAGAACTTCAATATACCGATATTTAAAACTAAAACAGGGCAGAGGTCCTTTTCTTATAGAACCGTATTCGTTAATATATGGAATAATTTATCATCTGAAATTAAGCTTAGCAAATGTTTAAATAATTTTAAGTGCAATTAAAGAAAACATCTTATGAACGACTTTCCATGATGAGTCATGATGAGTTACGATGGGTTATCCTGTTGCAACTATTAGCTAGTTTTAATTACTTAAATTAATTATCATCTTTAATATAATTTATTAATATACTGTGTAGTTTTTAACTTTTATCTGTTAATTAGTGTCACTGAAAAACCCACATGGGGAGATGTCAATGAAGTGTTGTATTGTATTGTAATTGTTACTTAAGTAATTGCAAATAAATCTGAAAAAAGTTCGAGACCTCAATGGAATTCACACCCATGGCCTCTGCGTTAGGGCTACAGTGCTCTACCATTTGTGCTATGAAGACCCATGCATGGGGGGAGGTCAATTTGTTGAGTTTATCACCTTAACCCATGAAAGGAATGAAACATATCTGTGTGGATTTTATACAAGGTTGCCGTACTGAGTCTCTAGTCAGCCAAGTCCAAGGAGCAACTACTCACCCTCCCCACCCATGAAACTTATGACTAGTCAATCACTTTCCCCCAAGCTCTCCTAGTAGTGTTATGATTATGAGTCACAGCATTGATTTGGCTGGCCTAGCCCAGTGGAAAAATTCTCTGACTTGGCACTGCTTTCTGACATCAAACTCTAATCAAAGTGACAAAACCTCCCCTCCCTACACTAATGGTTTTCACACAAAACAACTGAGCCACTCACCCACAAATAGGTCTGGGCCTGGGCTCTCTGCTGACACCTAGCAAGACTGCAACCCGCTGCTCTTTTTCCGGCTACCCTGGCTTGAACACAGGCAATGCCCATGTTCAAGCGAAAACTTAGCGGGCACCTTTTAGCAAAATCACACAGATATAGATGATCTGAAATGAGGAAACACAAATTTTTAAAAGAAGATACGATCGCACTGGTAAAATTTGTATTTTTGCAGTTCAGATAATCTTTATGTTTCATTCCTTTCATGGGCTAAGATGAAGTAAACTTTGTTCAGAAAACCTCGTAAAAAGTCTGTGTTTTAAAGCTGACTGACTCATTCTGATTAACTAATTCAGCCAGAGTAGTGGACAGCTAAGTTAATGTCACTAAAACAGATTGGTCTTTTGGCAAAAAATTAGATGTTTTTACTACAATAAGATTTCTCTACAATTCAGTGTGCAAAGAAAGTAGTGTCCGATATAGCCTGGGGCTATACGAAATATTTCTAAATTCTAATTCACAGGTTTGTTAGCTCGAAGTTGGACGTTTGTAATTCTCTTCCTTTTGGTGGCCAAAAACAGGACATGGTTAAGTTGCAGTACATTCAGAATGCGGCTGCTCAAATTATAGCTGGTCTCAAAAAACGAGATCACATCACCGAGACTCTAAGAGATCTTCACTGACTTCCTGTTGAGGAGAGAATTGTTTTTAAAATAAATTTAATAAATTTAAAACATTGAATGACTCTGGTCCCTGTTATCTTGAAGATATTTTAAAATTTTACCATCAATCAAGGACATTACGGTCATCCTGGGATCATTTGCTCCTTGAAGAACCAAATTTTGACATGAAAACTTATGGCCAGCGAGCGTTTTCCGTTGCTGCCGCCGGACTATGGAACAAGCTCCCCTTTGAAATTTGCGCTTGTTCTGATGTTAATGTTTTTAAATCTAAGTTGAAAACGTTTCTTTTTAAAAAGGCATATGACATTTAGTTTCATCATATTTGTTTTTGTTTTCTTTCCTTCTTAAGATGTATATGCTATAAATTTCCCAATATGTACAGTAGTGTGGCAACCTGTAAAAATGACTTTCTTTGCACCCTGACAATTACATGTAGATGTTCTACAACTAGATTTTTGACTACAATTTTGATTTCTTTTTCTTCTGCAGTTAGATTTTTCATGTCAATTAGTATTTTTCTTGTACATGCTTCAAATATGTTTATTACCCTTGGTGGGGGCACCTTGCATGGGTCTAAATTTGCTGTTCGTGCATTTCCCTTTTTGGTATTAATCATTTCCTTTTTATCACATTTTTAAAATCATGAATGTATATTCTAGTTAGTTTGATGTTGCCCAATAAAGTATGGAATAAAGTGTGATTGAAAATTAATTGAACATGAACAAACAATAACAAATGGTGATCTCAACAATCACTGTTAAAGAGCAGCTGTAATAGATGAACCATTAACTTATTACCTAAACATTTCTGGACATTAATTTCTTTGTTTACCAGTTAAAAATCATATTTTACTTTTTGCAAGAATTAAAGGTTTACGAATTGTCTGTTAATGTAATAAAGCCTTAATTATTGATATTCAAAGCAAAAAACAAAAAAGAAAATTATAAGGATCATTACTTTTCCAAAATTCAAAGAATATACTGGTCCGCTCTTCAAAGAACTATTGATTTCACTTTTTGATGATATAAACAATGAAGCCATTTCTTTGTCCATTGTTCGATACTTCAATAACAATCTACTCCCGGTGGGGGGGGGGACTTGGGTATTTTTGGGGTGGGTATGTGCACCCAGGACTCCAAATTGGCACCCCGTTCTAGAAAAAATTTCCCCTAAAATTGATACTCCATTCTAGAAATGGGCCAATTTTTATACTCCATTCTAGAATTCGCCCTAACACTGATACCCCGTTCTAGAAATGGTCCAATTTTTTATACTCCATTCTAAGGTGCGACAAGAGTAAAACGGTTTGCTTGTTAACGCATTGAACCATATTTTTAAAAGCAATCTGTCCTTGAATAATTTCAAATGGCTGCTTACAAAAGTAGAGTTTTAGAAAACGCCTCTGAAATGGACACCCCGTTCTAAATCAGGAGCTTCAAAATCACAATCCCTTTGGGCGGCACATACCCATAGAGGCAATGTATGGGAGTACCCCGGGGAATCTACTATCATCTATCAATGATTTCTTTTGTCTGCATGAACAAAGATTTTTATCAATCATAACAAAAGATCATCACTAACGTTCACAAAATCTAAGCACGAAAACTACCAAAAACACTAGATAAAATACAAAGGGTTGGAATAACTTACCAAAATCTGTTAAAGAAATTCAGACATTCAATTCATTCAGGAAAAGAATTAGAACGCACTTTCTCCACAAGCAAGAAAATTAGAATTTCACTTTACAAACGTATTTACAGATATATATAATCCTCGTAACACAGCTATATCCTTTTCATTGTAGTAAACTTCTTCAGGGATTCTCCTCTCTTAAAATTTCGGTAACCTCAGTTTTATAGTAGCCTCTGTTGGTTTGTAATTTCGTATGTGAATAAATTGGCCATGGAATGTGAAGACTTGTAACACAGGACGTAACATGTCCATCGAAATCGATCATCGGAAAGCTAGTGGATAAGTCGATAGTGCTCGATAATTGTCGATTGATTAGTTTAATTTGTCGATAAAAGTCGATAATCACAAACTTCTCGGGGCTGGCTATCGATTTGTATCGACTTTTATCGATTTCTATCGACATCAACATGTCAAGTGAACGGAGATACTTTGTATAATTATTAATTCTATTCATATCTTTTATTGTACATATTTCAACTTTTTATTGACTACATTCAATTTTAATAATTTTTATTATTTTATTTAATTAACATTTTTGACACGGCCCCATAAGCTATATTAGCTTTAAAACCCACCGTATTTAAATAAAAGATGTCGTTGTTGTTGTACAAGCATCGCGAGTGTAGAAAGTTGTACGGGGTTGATAATGGCAATAAAGCTGAATAAAGTTGCATTAAAACCTGAAAAAAACAGATCTTACCTTCTTCAATCCGCCACCGAATGTTTACCTCAAGAAATCTGAAGAAATGCGCCCTGGTTTGCACCACTTGCGTTCAATATCGCTTCTGTCGCCTCGCAATTTTTTCCGGCCTTGCGCCGCGATTGTTTTGGTCAGCACCGGTACACACCTTATGTATGTATCTTTGAAAGGGCCCTGAGATAGCGCGAAAATGCGACGATAAATATAGCACAAAATGCAGACAAAGTACTCAGATGTAATTAACTTTTATTCAATTATTGTCGGTTATTAATGTTCGCTGGATCCACCACTGCATTGTCCAGGCTTGTACAGGCCAGTGCTTTTCTTTTCTCCTTTGGATGACGAGGAGCAAATGGAGTACATCTCCCGGTACTTTTGTGTTCGACCTCTAAATAATTTCGGTGATGAGTTGGGGTGAGTTGTTTCATATTGGAGTTTTTACTGGGAAGATAACAGAGGCTACTAAGAATAATAAATTCGCTTTGTTGTAGCTCTCTACTCAGCTCTAGTTACAGTGCAAAATAAAACATTGAAACATACATAGCTCTACATATGATCGTTTTTTATCTTTCGATACTTTTCGATAAAAGTCGATTGAAATCGAACTCTAACGCCAAAAGTCGATCAAAATCGATGATCACAAATAATTTTGTGATCGACTTTTATCGACAACGATCGATTTTTATCGACTATCGGAATTATCAACATGTTACGTCCTGTGTAACAGAACGTCTGAGCTGTGTCTGTATATCAGTGGCTTGCCTTTAATAGCCACTATCATTTGACTTTCACAACTGAAGGTATCCATAATTTATTAAAATCCTGTCTTACCTTTGGCAACAAAACCTCGCCACTTTTCACACTCTGATCAAATCACACAAGGGAAGACAAAATTAAACCAAGATCGAAAGACAGAGCGAAAAGGTAAAATGTTGCTTTACAGACTGCTTTACATAGTGAGAAAAACCCGGGGAGAGTGAAAATGGACTGATTGTTAGGTTCACTTAAAGTAATGTTAAGCTGGTGATGCAATCTATTTGGATTGCAATTCAAGATTAAGATTGGTCTTTTTCATACTAAAAATAAGGTTTACCCGCTCATAGACAGAACGAAACTCCCACATCAAAATCAGCCAAAATAGACGGTGGATAAGAACCGAACTCGGGTCTAATCCCCTAGCCTGCGTACTGAAGTTGAGGCGCTTGGAAGTAGTGGGCGAAAGAGAGAACGGGCGCGCGCCAGGGAGACACGCCCTCGCGTGTCTCCTTCTCTCGCGCGCGTTTTTTCTTGTGCTCACTCAGTTCCACGCGCCTGCTACGCAGGCTACTAATCCCCATTTGTTCGCACTTAAAGGAACTAAGATGGGTAAATCAATTATACCTAAAACTGCCTCTGAATAATGTTATTTCTGACGAATGAGCCCGCGAAGAAGGCAGAAATAAATATTTTGACGGCACGAGATACAACAGGGCCTGGGTACTAGGCCGGATGCACCATGGGTAGCCATATCGGGGGTATATAAGGCTGCGTATATCACGTGTTCGTCATCTAGGCTTACGAACCAACCTCTCCTTGGTTTTTCTTAACGTTCTTATCGGCTCTTTCTTGCGTTATATCCGTCAGCAAAGACGAAGTGTCCGATCTCATTGAGGAGAATAACAAACAGTTAATGGACGCGTTTAAAGTTTTGTTAACAGAAACCGTTGGTCAAATCAAGCGCGCTAATGAATATTTGGCCGAGCAGCAGATGAAGGAAATTAAGAAACTAAAGTATAACGAACCACGTAAGTTCAAGAAGAAGGCCAACGAAAACCAGTTTTAAAGGATCCACAGTGCAGAATTTTGCGGCCGTGTAGCGTACTAGGCCCGTAAGAAGAAGAAGACCACTCAAAAACAGATCCTCGCCAGTGGGAACGCCGGCGTCCACCTCAACTTCACATATGCAACCCCAGCCTCATGTCAAACGTTCCTGTTTTTCGCCTTCTCGACGACCCAGTGTCGGGACCTGTTTTGCCCGTGGAAAGCGTTCCTGTTACCCGACGATGGACAAGCCAAACATCCCAAACTCCCAAATGGCTAGATGAAGGACAACAATCAGGTGCAGTCTATTCTAACTTAGTACTGAATTTTTTAGGCGGCAAGCCGTAATATGGATCAGGATTGTCTCGATATTATACCAGTTTCTTCTGACGTTGACCCCGCTAGTTTTAGGCGCGGTTTAGAGCTCTGAGTGTACCGTTGATATTTCTATTCTGCCTTCAGTTTGGGGAAGATTTTTCACAGTTATCTATTTCTGGCATACTTTGCTAGTTTCTCTGTTCATTTTGAATGTTTTTAGTATTAGTTACAAATTCCCTTCTTCCAGCTTTTTATGTTTTTTTCACAAATCCTACAATGCCTCTGCACGTGTTTACAGTTCTTTTTCTCCGTAGCTGTTAATGAACTTCCCAGCCTCAACCTCCTTTTAAATATTTTTTGCATTCCAATATCATTTACCCGCTTTCTGTTTGACGCGCCGCTCCGGCTAACAAAGGTTAATCCTGGATTTTAGGCACGTTTGCACTTTTTTCTTCAAACAGAAATTCAAGTGCGAAGACTTGTCCATGGCCACTTATATTTTTGATATGGGTTTTTATTTATTCATATTTTACCTCTAGTGCGGTTATCGTAATTTTCCCTGATCACCTGTATTTCCTTGCGTTCACCTGGGATCTCGGCACCTGGATTTTCAGGTATTTTCTACTTTGCGCGCTTCCCTTTGGGTTCTTGTCAGCCTCCCTCAAACCGGTTCAGAAATCTAGAAGAAGCCAAGGCATCCCTATTGCCATTTTTCTTGACTATGGTCTAGCTATAGGAGGAGGAGCCTATCGTGTTCAGGCCTTAATTTACAGTTTGCGGGCTGTCCATGCCGATTTGCTTTAGTCTCGCTTTGTTCGAATTCCTAATGAGGAAAAGTCCCTGTGGGAGCCCGTTCGAATTTTCTAGTGGCTTCGCGTTCATCTCAACATAACACTCTGGATGGAAGTACGCATTGCTAAATTGCCTCGCGACCTGGCGGCTTTGTCTATATATTAGTCGTCCACCACAGTCCACGTTCTACGCGTCCCGTGTGTAGCCACCCATAGTATTTCCCTCTCGAGTAGCGTGGGATCCGTCGCGTGCATTATGGCCCGATTTCTTTTCTCAGTTGTTTTCTCAGCTGTTTCCTGGGATAGCTAGGTTTTCCTGTCCGTTGATTCTTTGTATGAAATTGAATTTTGGTCGAACAATGTTAGCCTCTCTACGGCAAAATTTATCGAGGGGTTCCAGTTCGCTCCAGTGAGAGTAAGCTCCGGCTTCTCCGATGCTCCCGATTCAGCCTGCGGCGTTTAAGTGGAGTCTGAACCTGAGTTGGTCGGAAAGTGTTCGTAGATCGACTTGAAGAGAGCTCAAAGCGGTTTGTCTTGCCTTACTAGCCTTCGCGAGCCCTTCATCTTATTCCAAGGTTTTTTGGTATTCTGACAACCGGAACGTCGAATCCATTCTTCGCGACGGCAGCAGGAAATGCGATCTCAAGGATTTAGCCCTAGTTGTTTTTCAAATTTGATCCCATCATTGTATTTCGTTTGAGGTCAAGTGGATCCCTAGGGACCTGAACGCTAGTGCGGACTGTATCTGCAAGCTCGTTGACTTCGATGGTTACGGCCTCAACGATTTTGTTTTGCTAGGGCTAAATCACCTCTTAGGTCCTTACATTATTGACAGGTTCGCCTGTAGTTACTACGGCGAGTTGCCTTGGCTTAACTCTCTATTTTTTCAGCCAGGCTGTTAGGCTGTTTATGATCTCGCTCAAAATTGGGGATAGGACAACAACTGGCTTGGCCCACCTGTTTGCCTCATTGTCATAGTCATGTATATCAGACACATTGGACTCTGCCGCGCTCACGGGAGCCCTTATTCCTCACGTATGGAAGTCAGCTATTTTCTGAAATGTTTCTACTAGAGATGGAGTGCATTGGAATAGTTTTGTTGTGGACTGGGTTTTATTGCTTAAGTTCCAGGGATTATTTGTTCCAGGGAAGGTCCGTAATTCCCTTTTCAGAACCAGGCCTTTATTTTTTGGCGTCATAGCGCTTCGAGTTTATTTTCGGCGCCCCACACCTCCCTCGTCCCTGGCGGGCTTCTGCTCTACGACGCCTGACGGAGAGTGTTGCCTGTGCCTCTACACGCGTGTTATGCGTACCTTTAGGTTTGGACCCATTAGGTTTTTGCATGTAGCCTTTTGACCCCCCACCCCCCGCCCACTCTCCTCTCACTTCCCTTTTCCGGTGTTTTTAGCTCGCTTTTTTTTTATTATTCTTTTTTATTTCGTGATCCTCACATTTCCTTTTGTATTTTTGTATTTTTTGTATATATTCCGCTCTGGTTTCTAGCGCGGGCCCCAGAATTTCCCACCAGAGGGTTGAACCCTGAGGCTGACAGACAGTCTACAATGCAATCGACGGTTCTCTCCTCAAAGGCAGTTAGTACGACAGTGGTGTACCTTCGTGCTTCGCGCAAGTAAAAATGTTTTGCTGCCAGTAAGCTTCATTCCTGGGCCTGTCCTGCCAGTCCCTGCCATGTTGCCTTGTCTTTGCAACACCTCATTGAAGAGTCGCACTCCCCGTGCGTCGTAGACTCGGCTGTTTATGGTATTAAATGAGTTCATACCATGGCGGGTATCCCCTCTCCCAGGGATAACTCGATTATTGAAGGGGCTAGGTGTGTTTTCAAAACGATTTTAGGTTTAATGAGGTCTCCATAATTAGGGGGTATTATATTTTCTTTCATGAGGGTTTCATGATCATTAAGGTTCTCAAAAGCAAGAACGACCAACTTTGTAAGGACGATGACTCGAAGTGATTTTTTCGGAAATGTTTGGCCCTGCTTGTCCTGTCAAGCTTCTAAAGAGGTGCCTTGCTCTTTTTTCCATCCCCTTTAGCTCCGGGGATCTCATTTTTTCTCTATGTTTCGCGGGAACAACTCTTTTTAGTTAGTTTCCCAGGACGAGCCTATCAGCTATACCACAATTAGAGAGGCTTTTCGCAAGGACCTGAAAATTGTCGGGGT